AAAAAAAAATTCATCCCATGGAGCATTAATACTTCTGGACTTTGTCACACCCCTCCCTGTAATCACTGAGTAAACAGATACCACATACCACAGCATGGTGCATTATTTGAGCTTGGAAGTGTTGGAGGAGTCATAGCCTTCATAGCCTCAGGTTAAACCTGATTCCAAGAACCACTGTGGCTACCACCATGGTAGCAAGGATGAGATGCTGAGATGAAGCAACAATGGTGGCAGCTTGGGCTGTCTATATGGACCAGAGCCTCAAATCCTGATGGAGCTGATCCAGTCTGGGGAACCACCTAAGCTGAGTCTGATAACGTATCATATTCAAATAAGGATTCAAACTTTCCATAAAGAAAATAAAAGTGAGAAGGGCTGATGGACATATATCTGACCTATGTTCTTTGCTCTAAAGTTTGTTAAATTACCACCTTTGTAAAAGTGTTAAGAACGTTCTCTGAAATGTTGCTGAAGCTATTTCTTCATTAATACCTGAGCCTTCAATGACTACTGAGAAAATTGAAGATAATATCCAAGAAGATGCAGTTGTCCTCTGAGGCGACTCTGGAGCTCCTATCACAGGCAGAATAGTTGGTTAGATGGCCATCAGAGATCTTGTCCTATTTTTTATATAGCCAAACCCAGGCATTGGTGTCAGAAAGCTGAGTTCAAATCCTGGTTTTGTCTCATGGAACAGTGTGACTCTGGGCAAATTCATCCTTTGCTGAGCCTGTTTCCTTGATTGTAAAGTAGGAAAATAATACCCATTGCTGGGAAGATTAAATAGGATAGTAAGTAAACTGAAAAATACAGTGCCTGATACACTGGGCATTCAATAAATGGAAATTATTAGCTACTTTGTTTTTTTTTTTTTCCAAATAAATCTATTTTATTATGAAATGAAGACTTTGATTAAGAATATATTTTTATTAGGCATTTTGGTAACAAATCATTACCCTATATATAGTTGGTTTATTCAGCATATTTTTAAAAGTAAATGAATTCCATTGTAGTTTTTCTTGAAGGAAAAGAAATCACTTCTCCAGTTGTTGAGGAGTACTAAAAGCTTCGTACACATTAGGAGCAAAGTCTTTCACTTGCTCCATCATCAACAGATCCTGAACAAAATGACTAGGTGTTTCACTGCAAACTGAATGGATCTGTCCATTTACTATTGCAATTATCTTAGCTAATGGCAGGCTGACACTGGAAAGACTACTCATGGAGTTGCTATGTTGGTCCTGTTCAGTAGGTCGAAAGAACTCAGCCATATTGTCTAGCAGTCTGCTAAACCCTCGGTTTAAACATGTATTCAAAACTGTACTAAAATCTGGACTTTCCAACATGTCTCTAGTTTCATTGAGTAGTTTAATAGTTGTAACATCTCTAGGAGAAAGCCCGCAGGCCTGGACTGCTAATGGAGTTTCTTCATCTGGCATCATATAATGGCATAATAAAGATTTGGATCCATCTTTATTAATCCAAGAAGAAGATTTATGCTGCTCAACTAGATTTCTGATTTCTTTTAGTTTTTGCTCCAAGTCCAAAAGGGACAAAGAATGTTTAAGAGAAATGCTTCCTAAAATCTTCTGTACAGCTTGTTTAATGACCGTGATCAATTCTGTCAGGCCATCTCCAAGGAGGTGCTGAATACTTGATAAATATTGCGGTTGGACATCTGGGGGAGCAAGAACTGTAGTGCCATTTTTGCCAACTGCTGCATTATCCAGGTAAGTATATCCACCAATTATGTTTAACTGGACTCGCAAAAGAACCACCAGCATACAAGTACTGTATACTGCTACGATACTTCTTGTGAAACTTATTATCTTCAGATCCTCCCATATTTCCACCTTGTTTGAAGGCCTGTTTTTTAGCAGAGCGGTTAGGCTCTCAGAATTGAGTTGTTGCATTAAGGCCTCTCTCAGGGTCGGAAGCATGGACAGCACTGTCATACTGCAAGTCCTCTGGTTACTTTCAAAATGATACTGTCGTCGTGCTTGAGCAATGTACTCTGCAGCTTCTCTTTCTTGTATTTCTCTGATTTTCTTCTGTCCATATTTTCCCAGGATATATACTCCTCCGAGGACTGTGCCCAGGAAGATGCATTTCTTTTTATGACGTTTTAGAAAATTCCACATAGATCTCAGCATCCTCAGGCCCTAAAGGTACGG